GCCTGCTGCCTTTGGACTATGGCCCCCTTTTAAAAGACTTTATTTTTGCCTGCAGAAAAGCTGTATTCGTGCTTTTCTGCCGGTTGTTCGGTAGTTTCAATCTACCGAACAACCGTACGAATGACTGGACCACCTGGGAGCTGGAGTGTGCCGGCAATTAACCTCCCTGAAGCTGCGGTTAACCGCAGCTTAATTGATGAATGCTGGGTGGCCGCCATTCATATCCCGAACACGAGGTCGCGGCCATTTTAAACCATACGAATGAACAGCGGTGTTCGCCTCTATTTTCACGGAACTAAAATCGGACACAGTTTTGCGCGAACACCGCTGAAACCGCCGACCTCCCTTCTTGTTCGGTAGTGCACGAACGGCCCGGTGTTCGGTATTTTTGTTCAAATATGTTATACCCCAGATAGGAATCCCATGGAGCCCATTCGTATGAAACTGACTGTGTAAAGACTTTGGCTCCATGGCGATTAAACTGTATTCGTGTGGTCTGAGTGCCATTCATTTAATAATGTGCACTCAGACCTGAGCTATCTGGGGATATGTTACATGTCTGTGTTTTGTGGAATAAATGTTACTTTGTGTATTTTAAAGTATAATGCTGGTTTTGTGTCCCCACATGTGTAATGGAGTTTTGCCTTTGTCTTGGGAGATAATTGAGTTACTTCACAATTATCTCCCAGGGCAGAGGGGAGGAAGCCAGGATGCATTGTGGGAGATACTGTGACTGTGTGTCCTATTTGTCTAATTGTCTGTCCCTTGTCACAGTCTCCCATTTGGTCCCCTAGGGGAGTGTCCACCAGGTGGGAGACCTGCATAAATACTGGGCAGGTAGCCCTCATTAAACAGACCACTGCTTGACCCTCAACACGGAGCTCTGTCTCGTCTTTGGGGGGATTTACTGTATGCTGCTAAGGACTGATTGCCAGGAGTGTAAGCCGCTTGGGAGCTTTTCCTGTTCGTCTGGTAGCAGCAATTCGTATGGTTCCTGTTCGTGTATTTGGAGTGCTACCTTATTCCCTTGCCGTTCGGGAGTTTGGAGCATTCACTTGTATGCAGTTTGAGTGTTTGGACCATTCCCTTGTATGTAGTTCGAGTGTTTGGAGCATTCCCTTGTATGCCGTTCGGGAGTTTGGAGCATTCACGTGTATTCAGTTCATGAGTTTTGGTGATTCTACAGTAGCTGTGCCTGTCTCTGAAAGGGGATTATCGTCTAAGCGTTTTTTTCCCCTTTTGTGCAAAACGGTCCGTTACAAACATAAATAAAACAAATAAAAATAATAGATCAGGGAGTTGCAGTAGACATTGCTTACCTAGATTTCAGTAAGGCTTTTGAAACTGTTCCATATAGAAAGCTCATCAATAAACTGTAATCTTTAAGTTTGGATTCCTATATTGTTGAATGGGTTAGGCAGTGGCTAAATGACAGGCAACAGAGGGTTGTAGTCAACGGAATATATTTGAAGCAAGGTCTAGTTACCAGTGGGGTACCTCAGGGATCTGTACTTGGACCCATTCTCTTTAATATTTTTATTAGTGATATTGCAGAAGGTCTTAATGGTAAGGTATGCCTTTTTGCTAATGATACTAAAATTTGCAACAGGGTTGATGTTTCAGGAGGGATAAGCCAAATGGTAAATGATTGAGAAAAATGGTCAGAGCTGTGGCAGCTGACATTTAATGTGGATAAGTGCACCTTGGACTTAAAAACCCAAGGGCAGAGTACCGAATATTTAATAGAGTCCTAACCTTAAAGGACCACTATAGGCACCCAGACCACTTTAGCTTAATGAAGTGGTCTGGGTGCCAGGTCCCTCTAGGATTAACCCTTTTTTTATAAACATAGCAGTTTCAGAGAAAGAGGAGGATCGGAGGCGGAGAGGAGGAGGAGAGGGGTCCCTTGGGTGGGGGCACCCTCAGGGCACTATAGTGCCAGGAAAATGAGTATGTTTTCCTGGCACTATAGTGGTCCTTTTAACATCTGAGGAAAGGGATTTAGGGGTAATTATTTCAGATGACTTAAAGGTAGGAAAACAATGTAATAGTGCAGCTGGAAATGCTAGCAGAATGCTTGGTTGTATAGGGAGAGGTATTAGCAATAGAAAGAGAGAAGTGCTCATGCTATTGTACAGAGCACTGGTGAGACCTCACTGCCTCCAGTACTGCGTACAGTACTCCAAGTATCTCCAGAAGGATGTTGATACTTTAGAGAGATTTCAGAGAAGGGCTATGTAGCGGAGTAGTATGTTAAATCACAATATCTCCGCTGGTAGTCAGGATATAGCATGCAAAATACAGGTACCCCAAGAATTAGATGACACACTGGATGCTTGCCGCCATCTGCTCTGACGTTGTTCAGCACTGCTCCAAATCCAAACATAGAAGCATCTGTATGGATGAGAAATTATTCAGTTGGATCAGTAGATGCATGTACAGGTGCATTAACTATAGCAGTTTTCAGTTGTTGGAATGCCTGCTCACACTCTGTGGCCTATACTACTATCTTAGGGAGATTCTTGCAGGTTAGGTCAGTGAGGGGTTTGGCCAGGGTGCTGTAATCGGGTACAAATTTGCGGTTTGGCTAAGGCTAGGACTTGGGTTTTAGTACGGGGGGGGGTTGGCCATTTGGCTATGGCCTCTATCTTAGCTGGTTCTGGTTTTTGGTGACCGCTTCCTACTCAGTGTCGCAGGTATTGGACCTCCGCCATTCCTATGTGGCTCTTGCTGGGTTTAAGGGTTAACCCTTCCTCCCTAATGCGGTCTAGTACGGCTCCTATGAGGGTCAAATGATCGGTCCAGGAGTGGCTAAAAATTGCTTTATTGTCTAGGTAGGCGCAAGTGTACTCCTGGAACCCGTTCAGTAGCCGATCCACCAACCTCTGAAAGGTAGCCAGAGCTTTTTTCATCCCGAATGGCATGACCTTAAACTGGTACAGGCCAAATGGGGTGACAAACGACAAATTAGGAATGGCGTCCTCGGCTAGGGGAATTTGCCAGTACCCCTTACAAAGATCTATTGTAGTGAGGTACTGACCCCTGGCCATTTTGTCTAGGAGCTCGTCTATCCTGGGCATAGGGTAGGTGTCTGATATGGTTTTATCATTGAGCCTCCGGTAGTCTACGGATGGGTAGTCCCATCCCGCTTTGGCACCAGGACTACTAGGGAGGCCCAGGGGCTATCTGAGTGCTCTATAACCTCTAACTGTAGCTTTATTGTTTCAATCTCCTTATGCATGTTCTTTAATGATTCTGGTATGCGGTAAGGAGGTTGGTGAAGGGGCTCTCTACTCTATGGGTTGCTAAGGGGAGGTTAGAGAAGGTGGCCCCCTTTCCCCTAATTAAACTTTGAGCCTGTGCTCATTCCTGAGGGTTCAGGCGCACACCTAACTGTACCTCTTCTAGGCTCTCGTTCTGGCCCCATTCCTCTATGAGGTCTGGGAGAGGTAAGTTATCGAAGTCCTCTGCAGCAGAGGCGCAAATAGTGGTTACCTCTTCTGTGCGCTCGTAGTACAGCTTCAGCATATTCACATGGACCAATTATATAGGTGGTGTCACAAATTTTTTCTACCACCTTGTATGGGCTCTTCCAGGAGGCCTGCAGCTTGTCATAGGGGTACCATTAGAGGTTACTTCTCCCTCCCAGTGTTCCCTAATGAGATCCAGGGGACCCCTCACTCTCCTTCCGAACAATAATTCGAAAGTGGAGAACCCGGTGGACTCTTGGCAAAAAGTAAGTGGGGTAAAAACCATTCCCAGTCCTTTTGGGTGTCTATGAATGTACGGATCATTTGTTTAAGTGTTCCATTAAACCATTCACAGAGACCGTTGGACTGGGGGTGGTAAGCTGAGTTTAGAATAGGCCTTACCCCACATACCTTCCAGAGTTCGTGGGTGACCTCCGCAGTAATCTCCTGGGGAAATCCCATGCGGGAGAAGAATTGCATTAGGGCATCCGCTATGGTCTCTGCATGCACATTGATCAGTGTCACCGCCTCTGGGTATCTAGTGGCATAATCCACTACGGTCAAGATGTACTTCTTGCTGGAGGGACTGGGTTTAGCTAAGGATCCTATTATATCAACGGCCACTCTACTAAAGGGTTCCTCAATTATAGGCAGGGGATGAAGTTTTGCTTTATAGCGGTCCACTCGCTTCCCTACCCTCTGGCAGGTATCGCAGGTTTGACAATATTGTTGAATATCCTTTAAAATACCTGGCCAGAAGAAGTTCTGAGTCAGCCGATGTTTAGTTCGGCTGACTCCTAAATGCCCTGATAACGGTATATTGTGCGCGATGCGCAGTAACTCCTGTCTATATTTGCGGGGAACAATTAATTGTTTGGGCGTAGGAATAATCCTGGCCACTACCTTCTCTGCATAACGGTATAATAACCCTTTGTCCCAGGCATATCTCTCTCCCTCTAAACCAGCCTGGTTCTGGTCTATCCTATCCTTATACACTTGTAGGGAGGGATCTAAGGCTACCGCACTGCCAAATTTTAAGGGTGCATTGGATGGAGCCATGGAGCGAGCCTGCTGCCAGGTGTCGACTGCATAGGTTTCCTGAACGGTGGTTTGGGGAACAATAGCGAAGGTGAACCCCCCAGGTCGTTGCCCAAAATAGCATCTGCGGGCAAGCACTGCATGATCCCCACCTTCATGGCTCCTGACCCTGCTCCCCAATCCAAATGTACCTTGGCAGTGGGAACTTTGTAGATGGATCCCCCTGCTACACGTACTGCCACACAGTCCCCCATGAGTTGGTTCTTTGGGACAAGGTGGTTCCGGACCAAAGTCAGGGTGGCCCCAGAATCACGCTATCCCTGTATACATTTCCCTTCCATGTGCACGATCTGTCTGTGACCCTGGTGGTTATCGGATGCTGCTTGGATGGGGTTAACCTCATGGAGTGTTCCCAGTGGTTCCTCTATGTGGTTGGCTGTTGTGGGTTGGATGGGCTGCTCACTCTGGTAGCAATGTACAGTGGCCCGAGCACTAGGAGGTTGTCCTTGGTTGTGCCAGGTTGGCTGGGGTCTGTTCTGGGGGCACTCCCGCTGCATATGCCCCATCTGGTTGCAGGTGTAACATCGGATATGTGCCCGGGTCGGGTACCTTGATGGATATGGGTTGTTAGCTCCCCCTGGTCATGGGTGAGTTGTCGTGGCCAGGGCTGGAATGGGTGCTGCAGAACCGGAGAATACTCGGGCCTGTGGGCGTTGATCTCACCTCGTGTCTTGGTGTTCATCTGCCAGTTTGGTGCTGTCTGGTAAGGTATGAGGTAAATTCCTTTTAGGTTGGCTATTGTAGTGACTGTAGCTTGTGTGCCTTGGTGACTGGCAATGAGGGAGAACGGGTAGCCCCATTGGTATTTTATGCCTTCTTGTTGCAATGCTTGGGTTAGGGGTCTCAAGGCCCTTCTGCCACGTAGTGTCATCCAGGGAAGGTTGGGAAGCAGTTGAAGTTTGGTGGTGTTATACATAAGTGCTACAGAGTCCCTCGCATGCCTCATGATATTTTCTTTTTCGGAGTAATGATGGACCCGACATATTATATTCCGTGGGGCGTCCTGTGATAGGCCCTTGGGTCTTACAGCCCTGTGAGCCATCTCCAGTAAAATTGAAGTGTCCACAAGCCTCTGGAGCACATTATTAAAGAGTGTTTGCAGTGTAGTTGAAAGATCCTCCGAGGCTTATCTAGCCTCAGGTAGGCCTCGTACCTGTCAGGGAGCCGCGGGCGGCGAGGAGGGGAGGCTGCACGCCACTTGCAGCACTCACCCTCAGTCCATCGCCGCCCGCGGTCTCCTCTCTGCTTACCTGTCGGCGAGCGGCGTCTCCTCTGTGCCGCTCGCCGCCAGCGTCCTCCACGCCCCCCAGCGGCAGCATGTATAACGCTGCACGCTGGGAGGTCCAGGAGTTAAGTAAACGCCGGGGTCACGTGAGTGACCCGGCGTTAAAGAAACAGTACCACAATCACAGTGGGGGGTATAGATATCCCCCACGTGTGATTGTTAATTCTGATTGGAAGTTATCCAATCAGAATTAAACCTAGGGTATTTATACTTACCTTTCCTGTCCCTCAGTGCCCTGTTGTGGTCTTGTGATACCTGTAGCGTAGTGTTCTCGTCTTGCTCTCTGGTTACCGATTATTTGGCTCGTTATTCCGATTATCCTGTCTTCTCCACTCCTTTGACCTCGGCTTGTTTCTCGTTCTCCCGTTTTCTGGCTCCCTTTACCTGGCTTGTCTCCTGACTATTCTTAGCGTGCTTAGCCCGGCCACTCTAAGGTCCGGTACGGCACCTTTTCTGTGTGTGTGTGTGTGTGTGTGTCAGCGTGTTAGGTTCCACGAATCGTGACATTACAACAGGGCCACCATGGAACCTGCTGACATTCCACAGCTGTTAGTTAATCAGGAGGCTAGAATGGACGGTTTAGACCACCGTATGGATCAGTTTGCCCAGGCTTTACAAACCATACTGGCTCGTACAGCCCACTTGCAACCTGCTGTCCAAGAAGCTGTTGCTGCTGTGCCAGAACCCATTCCTGATCCAGTACCCGCTCCTACTCACGTGGTTCACATGACGCCACCTTAGCGCTATAGCGGTGATCCAGCATTGTGCCGTGGTTTCCTCAACCAAATTGATATTCATTTGGTGATGAATCCTCGTTCCTACCCCACTGACAGAACCAAAATTGCTTTTTTGATTAACCATTTGTCCGGGAAAGCACTAGCATGGGCTAATCCCATGTGGGAGAATACGTCCCCAATGTCCTTTTCAGACTTCTTAACAGCTTTTAAACGTACGTTTGACCAACCCGGCCGGGTTGCTTCTGCTGGCAAAGCTCTGCTTAGGGTTCGACAGGGTAATAGATCAGTAGCGGATTATACCATTGAATTCCGTACTTTGGCAGCTGAAGTGGTCTGGAATAACGACGCTCTCGTAACAGCTTTTCAGGAGGGTTTGGCTGCTTACATATTAGATGAGATAGCATCCAGGGAAATGCCTGTTCTTCTGGATGATCTAATAGATTATGTCATTCTAATTGACAATCGTATCAGAGAGAGGCGTAGTCAAAGGAGGAAGAATACCTGCTTTACCCAGTACTGCATTGCTAGCATTACCTCCCCCTAATCAACCACCCCCCGAACCCATGCAATTAGGTGCTGTAGGCTTATCTGAAGCTGAAAGAACGTACCGCAGAAGGGAGGGTTTGTGCCTTTATTGTGGTAAGAGGGGGCATCTCCGAAGAAACTGTCCTAGTTTGCAGGGAAACTCCTGCACCTAAGGCCTAGAGAGGGGTCGGCCTCGGGTGTTATGGTTTTTTCCCCTCATATGTCCATCTCTAGACCATTTATAACGGTTTCTCTTTTGGTCAATAAAACCACGATAACAACTAAAGCCTTGATCGATTCAGGTGCTGCAGACAGTTTTATGGATGAGAACTTTGCTAAAACCGCAGCCATGAATCTGATCCAAAAGGCCACACCCTTGGCCATTGAGGCCATAGATGGTAGACCACTTGATAAACCTCTGGTAACCCATGAAACCAAAGAAATGGTTATGGTCGTGGGTGCCTTACACAAAGAAAGGATAGCCTTCCAAATAATTGACTCCCCTACAGCTTCCATCATTCTGGGTTTTCCCTGGTTAGTGAAGCATAACCCAGTACTCGATTGGGATTCTCTAGATATACTATCCTGGGGGGTATCTTGTCAACAGGATTGTATGGCCCGTTTACATCCTGTTTGTTTAATTAATGTGCCTACAGCTAAACCACTTTCTGTTTCTGTCCCTCCTTGTAGAATATTGCATATTCTATGTTTCTATTGATTATATATATGGATGTGTGGATTGACATAAGTAACAGATGGTATCAATAAGTCACAAGGCTTTCTTTGTCCGAGAGCTCTGGAATGTGGATTCGGGGGTCTTGTCCTTATATGGCTAGAGTTATATGCTGACGTTAGTATTAGCACTTCTATATAGTAACAGAGGGACACGAGGTCTCTCAGTCTTGGTCTCACTCTTGGCTTGGCTCTGTACAACGATGTAACTCTCCCATCAGAAGTCCAGCAATTACCATCTGCTGTTGAATGTCCATTATCCTGTAACATCCTATATTATGTTTTATGTATCCGTAACTAAGAATAAACCTGAAGAAACCGTAAGTCAGATTGCGTATTACTACTTTTCAATAATATAGACATATATTATTGTGGCGAGCATTTGGCCCAAGAATATATATACAAAAGACGTATATATATCAATCAACTGAAGACAAGAAGAAATTAAGAAAGAGTCTACATTAACATCCATTCATCTAGTTTTTTTACATTGGCTAGCCTGCCAGTCTTCTATTCAAGTTTTGTTCCCACTTCAAGGGGGGAGAGAGAAGAATCGAGTTACAAAGCTATTTTGGAACTGGGAAAACAAACTTGAAGAGAAAAAAAAAGAATCTAGACTGTGTTTGTAAGAAAAAGAAAGTTTTCAAATCAAAGCCTGTACAAGACTATTTTCTAAAACTGAGACAAAAAGCACAAGATGCAACGTGAATTCTAGAAGCAAGCACGTGGCAGACATTGGCAAGCGTCCAAGCAAAGAACTGCGCAGCTGTGTGGATGAAGCAACGAAATAGACAGAAATAACTGATCTGGTGAGTAACATGGAATTCATAAATGATAATGCAGAGAAAAGTAAATTGCAGTTTGCATGTAATAGCAGCTATTCAGATGCTGTTTTGTGGCAATCTTTATACACACAATGTGAAATTGCCAATACTGAAATTGACAAGAAATTGTTTGTTAATAAGAAAAAACAAAAGATCAGAAATGTTATGAAACTAGTCTGTACTTACAATGCATTGATTTGTAAACGAAATACAGGTAAAGACAATTTAGAATCAGCAGAAAAAGAAGTAGATTTGAATGGGTTAACAGAAGACAAATCAGATTTAAATGAACAGTGTAACAATGTAACAGAGAGAACATTGTCAGAAAAAGTCTGTGAATTAGAGGATAGAGTTGAATTAAGAAATGATCTTATTTGCCAGCTTAGAAATGAAGTAAAGCTAGTGTGTGTTAATACAAGAAAAATACAGGCACAGAATCTAATCCCAGAACTAACAGATACTGAAAATGTATCCTCACAGAGTGATTTGCAGAAATGTAAATTTCAAGATAGAGCTGCAAAACTTAATTTGAAAATCCATGAACAATTAATGAAAATTGTGAAATGTATTCCAGTTTATGACATGTCAGTGGATGCATTTACTAATGCTGAAATGTTTGAGTCTAATGTGGACAAATACAGCCTAAATGACGAACAAAGGAATAGACTATTTCAAATATGGCTGCCGACTCAAATGGCATGTAGGCTGACCGCGCCCCTAAGATTTCAGGACAATGATGAAATAATATATGGAAATAAGCGAGACAGATTAACACAATTAATAAAATTAACAACAGGGAATGATTTTGCAGACACTGAAATGTTGGAAAAACTAAAACCACACAAAGGGGAGGATATATTTAGTTTTCTTGTAAAATTTGAAAGTGCATATAGACTTGTTGCTGATTTTTCTGAAGATCAGTTAATTAATGAATTTGTGAAAAAATTTCAAGATCTAGATCCAACTGCAATTGTGTTAGCTAGAGAAAAAAGCACTTTGACAGAAGTAGCTTTGTTCTTGGATAACTTAAGGAGAGAAACCAATAATGAAGGGGTTAAAACGACTTGTGGATTTAGGCAGAGAAAGAAGTGCAGATTTTACAGCCCTCCTCCTTCTTCTTCTAGGACAGAGGGTAGAGTGATACAGACAGCTGAGCCCCTCCCAATTTATTCAACTAAAAACTGTAGAGTTGATAATAAAAGGCAAAATATAACTCCTAAAGTTATTTGTTTTTGGTGCAACAAACAACATTATTTAAGATCTTGCAGATATTTTATCCGAGATATCAAATCAAAAGCAAATGAGAAATTAAATTTGTTGATTGAAAATTTTGACAGAGAAAATACATGTGGAGATAAATCAATAAAGGCCTTTCCTTGTAAACTTATAATCAGACAAATAAAAGCAATTTTAGCTAAATCAAAATTAGGAGACAGACAAGCAATGCAGTGTACACAGAAAGTTATAAGAATCAGATAATTTCAAGAGATATGATCAGTTTAGGGAATGAGCATGGATATGTGTTCCAACAGATGTACACAGGCTGATTCCAGAATTAAGAACAGCACAATAATAGAGATCTATGTTAGTTTGTTGTTTTAATGAATTGTTAGTCTGAACTGTTTTTTCATTGTTTTATGTGTGTTATAAGAAAGTATTAGGTTAATTAATTAAAATAAAAATTTACATCAAGTTTGCAAATATGGCAGAATGAGATACACTAATGTAGCAGTTAGGATCATGCAATGTATGTTATATTGGGTGTATGCAATTATACAGTAACTCCAATCATTTTACAGAAGAAAAAACAATGTTGTTGTTTCTGAGGTTGATTTAAAATCTTTGATTTAATTCATGAGAATGAGATTTTAATATCATGACTGATAATGGATTACTATATTTTGCAAAGCCTGGACATACATATGTTTTGATTATTTAG